CACAATGGATTCCTCAACTGGCATAATCCTCTCAGGGTTAGCCTCAAACCCTTCAAAATCCCTTTTGTCTACACATTCTGGCCACAGTTTCTTCCAAGCAGAGTTCAAGGTCTTCTTAGTCACTCCCTCCCAAGCCTTGCCTATAAGGTTTACACAATTGAGGATATTAAAGTGCTCTCTCCAAAACTCTCTTGAGTCAGTTGAGTTTCTGAGGTCACTACAAAGCACCTTTCAAACAGAGCTTTTGTGTACAGTTTTTTGAAGTTTGCAATAACCTGCTGGTCCATGGGCTGCAGGAGAGGAGTGGTATTAGGAGGCAAAAACTTGATGTTAATGAATTTCATGTCCCCATAAAGTCGCTCTGCCACGTCTGTAGGATGACCAGGGGCATTGTCTAACACCAGGAGGCACTTAAGTTCTAATTTCTTTTCAGTTAGGTAATCTTTCACATTGGGGGCAAATGCATGGTGTAACCAGTCATAGAAAAAGTCCCTAGTGACCCATGCCTTACTGTTTGCCCTCCACAGCACACACAAATTCTCCTTGAGGACATTCTTTTGCCTGAACGGTCTGGGAGTTTCAGAGTGATACACTAATAAAGGCTTAACTTTGCAATCACCAGTAGCATTGGAACACATCAACAAAGTAAGCCTGTCTTTCATAGGCTTATGTCCTGGGAGTGCCTTTTCCTCCTGAGTAATGTAGGTCCTGCTTGGCATTTTCTTCCAAAACAGGCCTGTTTCATCACAATTAAACACTTGTTCAGGTTTCAGTCCTTCAGCCTCTATGTACTCCTTGAATTCATGCACATATTTTTCAGCCGCTTTGTGGTCCGAACTGGCAGCCTCACCATGCCTTATCACACTATGTATGCCACTACGCTTATTAAATCTCTCAAACCAACCTTTGCTGGCCTTAAATTCACTCACATCAGCACTAGTTGCAGGAATTTTTTTAATTAAATCCTCATGCAACTTCCTAGCCTTTTCGCTTATGATCGCTTGAGAGACGCTATCTCCTGCTAGCTGTTTTTCATTTATCCACACCAATAAGAGTCTCTCAACATCTTCCATCACTTGCGATCTTTGTTTCGAAAACACAGTTAAACCTTTGGCAAGAACAGCTTCCTTGATTGCCTTTCTGGTGCCCACAATAGTAGCGATGGTTGATTGGGGTTTCTTGTACAACCTGGCCAGGTCGGCGATACGCACTCCACTTTCATACTTATCAATGATCTCTTTCTTCATCTCTATTGGAATTCTCACCCTTATTGCTGTAGGGTTGGCACTAGAAGCTTTCTTGGGGCCCATGGTCACTTATTTTCCAGAAAAAGCACCGAAAACACTGTAATAATACGAAATATTCCGATTGTATGCTTGGATGTTACCGCGGAGGCTGGCTGGTAAACAATGCCACCGGCGGCACATGTGAGGCTGGCTGAGGGCGCACATTGGATGTGTCTCGGACGAACATCGGTGAGCGGGTTTTTAAGCGGTATGCGAGGCAAAATTTTTGCGATTAAAGCAAGCGGTATGCGGATTAATCGTTATGTGATGCCAACGGTATGCGGGGGTCCACTGTATTTGATTCCTCATAATTTAATCCCACCCCTCTCCCTAACACCCTAGCATTTACTACTTTTACAACCCCATCTATAAATATATTAACCATGGTGACATTACACATCCTTGTCTCAGACCCACCTTTACCAGGAAGTAGTCTGCCTCTCTTCTACACACCCTAACCTGAGGCTCACTATCCTCATAAAAACTCTTTACAGCATTTAGTAACTGACTACCTATTCCATTACGTACTTGCAACATCTGCCACATTGCTCCCCAATCCACTCGATCATATGCCTTTTCTAAATCCATAAATGCAATGAAAACTTCCCTACCTTTATCTAAATACTGTTCACATATATGCTTCAATGTAAACACTTGATCTACACATCCGCTACCCACTCTGAAACCACCTTGCTCATCTGCAATCCTACATTCTGTCTTGCCTCTAATTCTTTTAATAGTAACCCTTTCGTACACTTTTCCTGGTATACTGAGTAAATTTATTTCTCAATAATTTTTACAATCTCTCTTGTGCTCCTTCCCTTTATATAAAGGAATCATACATGCTCTCTGCCAATCCCTAGGTACCTTCCCTTCTTTCATGCATTTATACCAACCACTCCAACACTATATCCTTCTCCTGCTTTTAACATTTCTGTCATCCTGTCAGTTCCGGCTGCTTTACCCTCTTTTATTCTACGTAATGCCTCGCACACCTTCCCCACACTCGCATCCTGCTGTTCTTCACTCCTAGAAGATGGTATACCTCCTTGGCCAGTGCACGAAATTTCTGCCCCTCTTTCTTCGTCGACATCTGAAAGTTCCTCAAAATATTCTCGCCATCTACCCAATACCTCCATCTCCCCATCTACTAAGTCCCTACTCTGTTTTTAACTGATAAGTCCATTCGTTCCCTAGGCTTTCTTAACCTGTTTATCTTACTCCAAAAATTTTTCTTATTTCATCAAAATTTCTTGACAGTGCCTCTCCCACTCTATCATCTGCTCTCCTTTTATGCTCTCTCACTACTCTCTTCACCTTTCTTTTACTCTCAGTATACTCTGCTCTTCTTATAACACTTCTGCTTTGTAAAAACCTCTCAAAAGCTACCTTTTTCTCTGATCACACCCTTTACTTCATTCCACCAATCACTCCTCTTTCCTCCTGCACCCACCTTCCTATTGCCACAGACTTTTGCCCCATATTCTAATGCTGCATTTTTAAAACTATTCCAACCCTCTTCAACCCCCCGACCACTCATACTAGCACTAGCCCACCTTTCTGCCAATAGTTGCTTATATCTCACCCAAACTTCTTCCTCCCTTAGTTTATACACTTTCACCTCTTTCTTACTTGTTGCCATTTTCCTTTCGTCCCATCTACCTCTTACTCTAACTGTAGCTACTAAATAATGATCTGATATATCAGTTGCCCCTCTATAAACATGTACATCCTGAAGCCTACCCATCAACCTTTTATCCACCAATATATAATATTACAAATTACTTTTATTACGTGCTGTATCATACCTTGTATGTTTATTTATTCTCTTTTTCACAAAATATGTATTTTTAACAAACCTCTTTCTACACACAGCTCAATTAAAGGCTCCCCATTTTCATTTACCCCTGGCACCTCAGATTTACCTACTACTACCTCCACAACATTTTTACCCACATTAGCATTGAAATCCCCAACTGCAGGTACTCTCACACTTGGTTCAAAACTCACCACACACTCAACAATTCCCAAAACCTCTCTCTCTCCTCTACACTTCTCTCTTCTCCAGGTGCATATATGCTTACTATAACCCACTTTTCACATCCAACCTTTATTTTACTCCACATAATCCTTGAATTAATACATTTATACTCTTTTTCCTTCCATAGCTTATCCTTCAACATTATTGCTTCTCCTTCTTTAGCTCTAACTCTATTTGAAAACCCTGACCTTATCCCATTTACTTCTCTCCACTGAAATTCTCCAACCCCCTTCAGCTTTGTTTCACTTAATCCTTTCAGGGTTGGTGCCGTACTAGTACGGCTTGCACGCCAGGGTTGGTGCCGTACTAGTACACATAAATTCTAGCGCCTTCAGATCTAGCGGGAGAAAGCTGGTAGGCCCACATATGAAAGAATGGGTCTATGTGGTCAATGTGTGCAGTATAAAAAAATTCCTGCAGTACACAGTGCATAATGAGAAAAAAACTGCAACCGTGTTTTTGGTTTAAAAGACTGCAGTGTATTTTTGTATGCTATTTATGGCTGTATTCTAGTTTTCCTGGTCTCATTTTATAGAATGGAAGACATATTATGGAAATTGAGATGATTTTGTTTGGTTTCACAATGAAAAGTACCTTGAGATTAAGCTCAAAGTAGCAGAAATGTTCAATTTTTGCCGAAGTTCATAAGTAAAAAAATATGCCACACGTTCAGTACACGTTAACTGGTGAATCTGATATTCTTTAACAAGTGCGCTGATATTATTTATACCATTTCTACACTAATGCGGTAGTCTGCATAACAGTAAATCTTCTATTTTTTTTTTTTTGAGAATAAAAATTCAAAGTGGAAAGCAAAAGAAATGTAACAGAGGCATGGGGACGTGACTAATGAAGAGAGGAAATGTTATTTTAGTGCCAGGAATTCTGTCTTGTTTATCCTGGACCCTATTTGGAAATTGGCATCTTTTGAAATTTGTGTGAAATTGGCAAAATTGCTAATTTCTGACCACTTTATTGGATACTTGAAATGTGTAAATGGGTGGTTTCCTGTATTCATTTGATAGAAAAAATGGAGTACTGTACGTACTAGCAAAATAGTTGAGATTTTTGTCGACTGGTACATTGGAATTGGCCGAAAAGAGGGCTCAAAGTGGGCGAAATTGCTGATGCGTAAACATCGGTGAGACTGCTAACTTCGCAAGAGCATAATTCCGTAAGTTTTCCATCAAATTTCATAATTTTGGTGTCATTATGATTGGAAAAAGATTCTCTATCATTTCATGAGAATTTTTTTTTTTTCCAAAAAATTTCTGACCCTGAGAACAAGTATAGGAGAGGGCCTGCCGACCCAGAAAGGGTTAAAGCCAGGACAGCCAGCTTCTTTTCATTCATAGCATCTATAATCATCTCTTTCTTATTCTAACAACATCCACGCACATTCAGACATCCCACTTTGACAATTTTCTTCTATGAAATCTAAAATAGAATATGAAAGTTATTTTGTCATATTACTGAAACTCCTGCCATATACCAGCTGTTAACACAATTGTGATTTTAGTATTTTGTTCCCATCGTTAAAATCAGACTACTTTTTAGTATGTATATTTGCTTCAAAAAGTCTCCTCAGCACCTCAATTCATGATACATTTAACTACAGTTATGAATTATTACATTTGTATGAATTGACTAATTTATTATTTTTCTTTGCACAGGCGCAACATAAATGGAGAGGACTGGGATAACAGAGTGAGAGATTTTGAAAGAGACAGTAGCAAGAACCGTCGCCTTGATAGAAAGAACTTTGAAGACCGCATTGAAAGGCCTGAGCGAGGGGAGAGTTTTGTGGAGAGACGTAGTGAAGGAAAAAATGAATTGTGGAGTCGGTCTTATGACCCTGAACTTGTGGTAGATAAGGAACCTAATGGTTATGAGTTAGGAGAGTTGCGCATGAGTCACAAAGAATGGGACAAAGAAGTTGAAGCGGCTGAAAAGCAAATGGAAATGCGTGAAGATGTACGTGATCGCCCACAGCGTCCGGATAGTAGAGATAGCAGGTCCAGTAGGGAGTCGCGTACAAGCAAGGATTCCTTTGATCGTTCTTCAAGTCTTCTTCCAAGGGAAAAGAAGTTAGAGATAACTTCGTGGGCAGATGCTACATATGAATACGATGATTATGACCGAACTGAGGCTAGGTTGGATGACTTCATTACCCGTGAGCCAAATTTCCAAGAATCCTCCCCAAAAATTGATGTAAAGGAGAATAAGTCAGTTACAGTAACAGAAAAAGAATTCAAGGAAGAGGGTGCCACTGAAGATAGTGAATTGCAACCACGGGAAATAATAAAGGAGAATGCCCGTGCTGCTCATGCTCCAGCACCCATAACTCGTGAAAGGTTAGAGGCCTCAGATAAAGAAAGGGAAATTAGGAAAAATATGACAACTCTTAAGAAATCGCCTCAGGGAGAACAAGTACGTAAAGTTGAAGTAAAGGAAGTTGTTCACCCTAAGGAGCACAGGGATAATGTATGGGCGAGCCGTTCAAAAAACGCCGAACGCTCCCGCCCCGATTCCAGCGGCACGGCAACAGTGGTGGCCAGCAATGCAGGCAACAGTTTGACCAAGTCCGGGGAGTCCAACATTTGGGGCGTGGCCAAGCAAGCAACTTCAAACAGCGAGAGCACTGTTCCAGCCAGCGTGCTAGTCGCAACAACAACAACAACAACAACAACAACAACAACAACAGCAGCAGCAGCAGCAGTAGCATCAGCAGCAGCAGCAACAACTACTACTACTACTACAACAACAGCAGCAGCAGCAGCAGCAGTAACAATAGTCAGTCAGGCCAGCAGCAGTACCACCAACAGCAGTACTGCCGCAACCAACACAAGCACCACAGTAGTAGAGGTAGCAACAGTGAGGGTATCCACCCCACAGGAAGTTGTTGGCACAACTCCAGTTTTGCAACCCCAACCTCTAATGCAGCAACTCATCCAGGCGCCACCACCACAACAGCAGCAGCAGCAGCAAATGCATCAATCACAGCAGCAGCAGCTGCAACAACAGCCACAACAACAACAACAGTCAAAGCAAGTGCAACAGCAACAGGAGCAGCAGCCAGAACAGCAGCAGCAACAGCAGCTACCACCATCACCACCACCACCACCACCACCTCCACCACCACCACCACCACCACCACCTCCACCACCACCACCATCACCGCAGCAGCAGCAACAGCCGCAGCTGCAGCCGCAGCCACAGCAGCAGCAGCAGCAGCTAAATCTTCAGCAACAACAGCTGGCCGGAACCACATCAGACGTAATCACCACTACAACCACTACCCTCGCACAAGGGTCTTCTCCAACAGCAACCGCTGGAAGAGTGACCACTGAGGGAAATAATGAAGTTGCTGAGAATAAGAGTGCAGACCGGGGCGGGGGCAGTAAGGCAGTATTATCAGGCTCTCGGGGTAACAGAGGAAATCGCTACGAGTCTTCTCGGAGTGGAGGACGTAGTAGTGGATCTAGAGGTGGCACCTACCCCTTGTACCGTGGGGCTAGAGGAAGTCGTGGAGGGGATTACAATCGTCGAGGTAGAGGTCCTCCTCCAAGATTTCAGATGCGCAATTACAGAGGTGATGATGACTACTACTACTATGAAGAATACCATGGACGTTCTCATAGGGACCGTAAGGTAACGCTTGTGCTTTCATCAATATGTTCTGTGTGTGTGTGTATTCTAGATATCAATAATTGCTGCTTTGCCATTTTAATATAATAGTTAAATTCACTGTTCTATGTTCTATTGATTTGTAGGATGATTGGAGTAGTAGCTGTGAAGGAGATTGGAGCAGTGCACTATCATCAGGGGGAGGCAACAGTGCTGCAGGAAGCAGTAACATCTGTAGTGGCTCATCTCTACCCAACAACCGGGAGGAGAGCGGCGATGGTGAGCGCTCCCAGTTTGGTCGAGGTGGCGGCCGGGGGCGAGGGGAAGCCAGGAGGGGAAACTCCAGGGGTGGTGGTGGAGCTTCATCACTTCAGGGCCATGCAGGGGGCAGGGGGCGGTCAGCACCATCACATGGTAGCAGCGGTGGTGCCAGTAGTGGCAGTGGTGGTGCCAGCAACACTATCAGCAACAGTGGTGGTGGTGGTAGTGGCAGTGGTTGTGGCAAACCTGGAAATACTGAGGAGGGAAAAGTGTGTATCAATGAAGTTGGTTCATCAGAATCTGCTGGACGCAAACAGCATCAGCAACAGCAGCAGCAGCAGCAGCAACAGCAAAGCAGGTTTGACAGGATGCCACCAAGGTTTCAGAAACGGCGAGAATTTGAGCGTCAGAGAGGCGGCGTTGGTGGCAGTGGAACAAGTAGCCATAGTAAAAGAGGACGAGGAGTTTCAACAACGGTCATCAATTCTGGAGGTGGAGGGGTTGTCTCATTGGCCACTACAGTGCCAGTAAAGCCCAGCATGAAAGAAGGTACACCAGAGACGACTGAAGAAGCTGACTGGGAAACTGCATCCGAAAGCAGCGATCCTGAGGCTCGAAAAGAAAATAAGGAGAAGACTGCAACATTAGTGATAAAAGCTGATCATCGAAAGGGAAACAAAGCAGATAGGAAGATTGGTGGTGGCTGGGCTTCCACGTCAAGTGTGGGCTTAGCACAGGGACGTATCTCATTTGGCAAGGAATCCAAAGCTGAGAGCCAAGGTGTTCACCAAAATACTAGCCAGCAGAGGTTTGGTGAGAAGAAGGCTCCACATAAAAATGAGAAAACTAAGAATGGACCTACAAGTGGAAAGGGCATGAGAAATGAAACTACTGTCAGTCAAGTGCATGAGATAAAGTTAGACCCTACCATGGTGCACCAGGCTCTCTCTGAAGTCAACAACAAAAGTAAACCCAAGCAAGAGAAAGCCAACCCATTGGAGGGCATCGACTTGAATAATTATGCTAGTAAGTAGTTTCCTGTTGCCATTTCCACAACAATCCCTGTCAGTCAGTTCATCAAGAATTGATGGTCAAATGTTGCCCCACAAGAGGCAGTTGCTTTAGCATAAGCTAAGAAGATATTTTGGAGCCTTTTATTTCACCAAGCTGACTTTAGATGGTTATTTTATAACTTTGTTATTTTGAGCACAGGAACATGCTGCTAACATTCGGAATTAGCCACATGATAAAATTGTGTGATAAGTTTGTAGTAAGCTTTGACTAGTTTTTTTTATTATGAATTTGGTTTTAGTAGCTTGTGCTAAAGCAATGAGCCACAATAAATGACTGTAATGACATAGTTTCATTTTAATAAGTAGTGTGTGGGCTCTCATCATAAGTGTATAATTTTGTTTCATGCATTGAATAAGTATTTCTAGTATAATATTTAAATGTCATAATTGGGTGTTGATTATATGAATATGGTTTTTTTTTCAGGTGTGGTGATAGTTGATGATCAGCCACAAGTGTCTGAACTTATTGGTGATCACATGGCTGCAAATGATGGTTTCCAAGAAGTAACCAGGCGCAAATCAGGAAAAGAAAAATTAAAGACCCAGTTGCATGAGCCTGTATCAGTTACAACTGCTGTCAGTGAACCTGCAGCTGTTGGTATTACCAGTGCTGGTGGTCCAGCACCTTCCACTACGGCTTCAAAAAAACAACAAAAAGAAAAGAAAGGTCGCACTAGCAAAACTGGTGGATTTGAGCGATCTCGTCAGAGCAAGCTTCCTCCAAGACTAGCAAAACAGCGTGAGAACAACCGGATCAATGCAATGAAATCTGCTGGGTCTTGCAGTCCTGTAGAATCTCCAGCAAACACCTTATTTCCTGTGAAAGATTCAACTGCTATACCTCCACCACCTAAAAATGCATGGGATAAACCTCTAACTGCAACACTGAGAGCTAATTCTCCTCAAGCTCAAACATCTGGGGATGGAACAAATCAAACTGGAATGAAAACATCTGTAGATAATCACGATAGTGGTGTGGAGATAAGTGACCAACCAAATTCTGGAGGCAGTAGTCAGCGGTCCAGCCCTAGTGATGATCCACCCAGTTTCTCAAAAGTGGACAAGAATACTCTAGATGGAACATCTGTGCCTTCTCAGACAATCATATTTGAAAATACCAATTTCAAGGCTGCAGGTTCAGTAAATGCTACTGTAGGTGCAGAGTACAAGGCAAAGTTTGGTGAAGCCCCTAAGCCTCAAAGACAACGTGAGAACAGAGATAGAAAAAGTATTTCCCCAGAAACTACATTGTCAATGAAAGAAGATAAAGATAAGAAATCTGAAAAGCCAGAGCCCATTGAATTACCACTTAATTTCTCAACTAAAGTAGAAGAAAATGGTACTGATATGAAATTAGATTTTACATTCGATTCAGAATTACCAGAAGTTCCGGGATCTGTAAGCACTAAAGTAATTAGCCTTCCTCGATCCTTGGTGATGACGTCTGGTAGTATGCAGAGTCCTATATCTCCATCCACAGATGATCTTAACCTTAAAATTGCTTCAGTCAAAAAGGTATGGGAAACAATGGCACCTGTCCCTGAGCATGCAGAGGATGTGACGAGCTCAGTGGCATTCTCAACAGCAAATTTCTCTGCTGTAGATAGTGTGGCGGGGCTTGACCACTCTCCGGCACTTGAAACCTCTTTCACGCCAAAAGATGCTACTACTGTTGGTACCTGTGAGGATCATTCTCAAGATGTAGGTGGGTATCAGGGTGGTTCACCTCTACAGCAGGGAGCAGCCATGGGCAGTGCAATGGTATACACTTCTGCTGCTGCTGCATACACATCCTCTGCTGCTGCTTCGTTGGCAAAGGCTGAAGTTAGTCGATCTGGGAATGTGTGCAAGGTGAAACCACAGCAGCAGACTGCCAGTAATTCAGTGTCTCCAGGACCAGGTGGATCATCCTTGGGCATCTCGGGCAGCTCACTCTCGCCTCCTTTAGTATCAGGATCAACAGGCCCTTCAAATAGCAGTATGTATCAAGCTTTAGGAGGTACAGCACCATTTGGAGGAATAGGAGGTGCAATCCCATCACCTCCCATGGTGTTCAATTCTAACCCACAGACAGGCTTGTACCAACCATTTTTGGATGGTACTCCAGTTCTTGGACAGAGAGGTGCATCCCAGTTCTCTCAGTATCCACCATATGGAATCGGGCAAGGGTTGGGTAGTAATGCATTTGGTCAGCAATCAATGTTTTTACAGACTCCCCCACCTCTCACAACACCAGATCTGTATACTAATAATATATCTCAGTACAGACTACAGCCAACTGGTGTTACAGGATTTGGACAGAGTCAGCCTCAAAACCAAAACACAGTCCTCATATCAACTGCTTCAAATTCTCTCATGTCATCAGCAGTGAAGCCATCATCACAAACATTTGGTAATTCTCAGCAGAACTTTGGCACCATTGGGTCTAAGGCTGGTACCCCATTCCAGCAGAGTGGCCTAGGGACTGCTTTACAAGGTGGTCCTCAGCCCTCGCAGTTGTATATATATGATCCCAGCCAACCCATGGGTCTTTTAGGATCACAGTTGGTCCAACGCCCTGGTGTACAGAATTCTGTTATTCAGGCTATACAGCCACCAAGTTCATTTTACTCAAATAATGGGGCTGGTGCACCAGGTGCCCCACCTACAGCACCACCAGCTGGACCTGGTGGACCCCAACAGGCAGCAGGATTTTATACTGCTTCAGGTTCACCATTACAAGCAGCAGTGCAGCAGCAAGCACAGCCACCCCTGCAGACACCACCTGCAGCATATGGCCTACAAGGCTTTGGCAGTCAATCTCAGCCTGGCCCAGCAGGTGTTGGTATGCAAGGATTTGGTTCCAGTATGAGTCTGGCAGCACAGCAGCTGGGAGCACAAGCATTTCGAGGTGCTCCAACGCTTCCTCCTAGCTTCTTGAAATCCTTGCAGCCAGGAGCTAATATCCAAGATACAACTCGCCAGCAGCTCAAATCCCCAGGTGCAGCCCAGAATTCCTTTTCATCAACATTTTTTCCTCCCACAAGTAAGTGACAATTTAAAATTCTTTCAATTCATGCTAATATTTAACTTATAATTTCACAATCTTTAAGGGTATGTATGGGTGGAGGGGGGGGGGGTGGAGTAGTTGAATCTTTGTAGTTAAAATGGTGTGCTCTATGTGTACTGTATTTTCAATATAATAATCTTTTCTGAAGGTAATGTCACCAAAACGACAAAATTTGATGGAAAACTTGGGAATTGCGCAGGCACGAACTTTGCAGTCTGGTCACAGTGTATGCATTGGCGATTGTGTCCACTTTGAGTGTTATTTCAAGACATTTCCATTGCTCCATTTGACCAAAGTCTTAGCTATTTTGCTGGCATGCCTTCCATTCTATTGATTGTGCACAAGAAACTACATGTTAAAGTATTGCAATTACCCTATAAAGTACACAGACGTTGGTAATTTAGCCAGTTTTACACAAAATAAAAAATACCAGTTGAAAAATAGTGTAAAATAATGTAGACAGTCCTGGTACTGAAACATCCTTTTGTCTGTTCACTAATCACGTCCCCAGCCTCGCTAATACGGCGGGGTTAAGTTCAAGACCACTGCTGTAAAGTGAATATCACCTTAGAGTGAATCGTAGCCTTTTTTGTTCAATTTCCAGTACATATATTAAAAACATGTTTACACTATAATTTATTAAGTGTGCAATAGCACTAGCCCTAAAAAAAAGATGCAAAAAAAATGATAAACACAAGTGGTAAGGCACTGTATTGCTGACCTTAAATATTTTTGTCCTTTGCTTGTGATGAAGGCTGTTGAATGGTAGGGCTATTTGCTGTTGAAGGTTAGGGTGACTGGCACTTCCTTAATATAGGACAACAATGAGGTTTGCCTCATTGACTGATGCTTTCTTTCATGACAAATATTTCTGTAGCATTGCTTCTTCACCTTGCACTTTTATGTTGTGGAGGTGGCTTCTTTCCTGAAACCTTGTGAACCCAGGACTGCTAGTTTCAAACCCCCTCTTCTGCAGCTCCCTCGCTTCTCTCAATCTTCATAGAAATGAAGAGAGTTAAGGTCTTGTTTTGGATTAGGCCTTGGCTTAAAGGAACATTGTGGCTAGTTTGATCTATCCAGACTATTAAAACTTCTTCCGTGTGGTAGCATTTTAAATCTCTGGGGTAGCATTTTAAATCTCTTTCAACAACTCCTCCTTTGAGGTTACTACTGTGCAAACTGCTTGGCATGTCAAACCTAGCTTATGGCCTATCTCATAGTTCAGCGTGCCTTTCTCACTAAGCTTGATAATTTCTAGCTTTTGATTCAGAGTAAGAGGCTTGTGACTTTTTTTCACTAGCATTAAACTTAGGGGCCATTGTACTATAATTAATAATTACAATAATAATCATAAGTACAGAATTGGAAAATTTTGAAAATTGCCAGAATATGACTAACATATGAAGTGCACAAATGCCATACAGACTGAGCATGGGTAACAAAATGGTACTGAAAATAATAAACATGACTAATTGAAAAGCGCTGTATTAGCATAGCGCTCTAAAGCAAAGTGCCTTAAGGTGAGGTATGCTTGTATTACACTTGCCCTACATTTTGATTTAATAATCACACAAAAATAGAAGACTTACTCTATTCCTGGATAATATAACCAGGAATGATTGGTCAAGGTTTACAGCATCACACTTTTTGAATTGGACAGTAAAACCCATAAAACAGACCAGGGGGTGTAGGGGGCCTTACCTGTCCCCCAGGAAAATCTGCAAAAATCAAATATTTTGCAACTTTGAGGACAATTTCAAACTGCTACTGGTCCTGGAACCTTTTAAAATTCTCTGTTTTAGTAGAATGCCTTCCATTCTATCAAATTATATGAAGAAAGTCACTATAACAATAAAAATCATTGTAGAAAATTCAAAGTTTCTCTTTTAAACCATACATACGGTTGTAATTTTGTTTTTACCATCTTGCACAATTTTATTGTAGAAGCCATTAACAAATATATTTTGAGTCACAACCTATGGTTAGGAGGGTCTACTTTGAGCTACTTTGAGTTGTATTTTGGTACAATTCCATTGTTCCAGTCAACCAAACTCGTAGCTATTTCGCTAGTACTTGTTTTATTCTATTGATTGAGTACAAGAAACTGTCTATTTACCTATTTCAACCTTCCTAGTACAGTGATCAGAAATTGGTAATTTGGCCAGTTTCACACAAAATTTGAGAAAGGCCAATTTCAGAATAGGGTCCAGAATAAACAGAGTAGACGTTCCTGGCACTAAAATAAAATTTTCTCTGTTCATTAGTCATGTCTCCAGGTCCCTCTTATATTACGCTTGCTTTCTCTTTTGAATTTTTATTCACACAAAAGAATAGAAGATTTACTGCTATGCAGACTACTGCAGTGTTGTAATAATTGTATAAATAATGTAAGCGCATTCATGAATGTACATTAGACCCACCAGTTGACGTGTATTGGATGCATGGCGTGAGTTGTTTACTCTTGAACGTTGGCAAAAATAAAAAAAAAAATCCGTCACATTGTGCTCAATTTCAAGCAACCTTCAGTCCCAAAAGCAATCAAAATTATCTCTATTTCTGTACTATATCTTCCATTCTATCATTTGAGACCAAGAAAATGAGAATACAACCATAAAAACCATATGAAAATGCAGTAGGGCCCCACTTATACGGCGGGTTAGGTTCCAGGCTGTCGCTGGAGAGCAGACATCACCGGAAGGCAGAACGCCATTTTTTCCATTTATAAATGCATATAAATGCCAGACAACAAGTTTACACTAAATTATATTAAGTTAGTAATAGAACCAGGCATTAAAAACAAACAAAGTAAAATACATTCACAGTAAATTCATTACTTATCTTAAAGTATTTGTAATCTTAATGTAGGGAGAGAGGTGAGTAGTACTTATTTGTAGGAAGTCAGGTGCAGGTAGCCCAGGTGTAGGTAGCCCTGGCTCCCCATCTCATACTTAATATACGATATTTAAAACATCCCAGAGAGGTGAAATACACATACAGTACACTCATTATTTACCGTAAAATATGTGTAGTCTTAATATAGGAAGAGAGGTGAGTAGTATTTATTTGTAGGAAGCCAGTGTAGGTAGCCGGTAGATGTAGCCTGCGTGGGCTACACCTACCGGCTACCTACACTGTGGCCCAGAGCCATATTATTAACATCGACATAACTTGTTCACTGAATTTAATAATTTCTAACAACTACCTTTAGATGCCATCATAAACGAAGGTAGAAGTAATGAATAATACATGCCGAAAATTGTAAACAAAAGCGGAGTGAGGGAGTGGCTGGGCCAAACACAGATTCATACACGTTTTCTCTGATGGCTGAGCAGAGAAAACGTAATGTTGTCCCTCCACCTGGCTACCACACAGGTCCACAAGTATTATCAGAGCACACAAAATATGCAATAAATGCCAGACAACAAGTTTACACTAACTTATATTAAGTTAGCAATAGAAATAGGCATTAAAAACACAATAAAAGGTAAGATACACACACTTATTACTTACCTTAATTTTTTTTTTTTTTTTTTTTTCAACAAGTCGGCCGTCTCCCACCGAGGCAGGGTGACCCAAAAAAAAGAAAGAAAATCCCCAAAAAGAAAATACTTTCATCATCATTCAACACTTTCACCACACTCACACATTATCACTGCTTTTGCAGAGGTGCTCAGAATACAACAGTTTAGAAGCATGTATGTATAGAGATACACAACATATCCCTCCAAACTGCCAATATCCAAAACCCCTCCTTTAAGTGCAGGCATTGTACTTCCCATTTCCAGGACTCAAGTCGACTATATGAAAATAACTGGTTTCCCTGAATCCCTTCACTAAATATTACCCTGCTCACACTCCAACAGATCGTCAGGTCCAAGTATCATTCGTCTCCATTCACTCCTATCTAACACGCTCACGCACGCTTGCTGGAAGTCCAAGCCCCTCACCCACAAAACCTCCTTTACCCCCTCTTTCCAACCCTTCGAGGACGACCCTACCCCTCTTTCCTTCCCCTATAGATTTATATGCTTTCCATGTCATTCTACTTTGATCCATTCTCTCTAAATGACCAAACCACCTCAACAACCCTCTTCTGCCCTCTGACTAATGCTTTTATTAACTCCACACCTTCTCCTAATTTCCACACTCCGAATTTTCTGCATAATATTTACACCACACATTGCCCTTAGACAGGACATCTCCACTGCCTCCAACCGTCTCCTCGCTGCTGCATTTACCACCCAAGCTTCACATCCATATAAGAGTGTTGGTACTACTATACTTTCATACATTCCCTTCTTTGCCTCCATAGATAACATTTTTTTGACTCCACATATACCTCAACGCACCACTCACCTTTTTTCCCTCATCAATTCTATGATTAACCTCATCCTTCATAAATCCATCCGCCGACACGTCAACTCCCAAGTATCTGAAAACATTCACTTCTTCCATACTCCTCCTCCCCAATTTGATATCCAATTTTTCTTTATCTAAATCATTTGATACCCTCATCACCTTACTCTTTTCTATGTTCACTTTCAACTTTCTACCTTTACACACATTCTCAAACTCATCCACTAAACCTTTGTAGTTTTTTCTTTAGAATCTCCCATAAGCACAGTATCATCAGCAAAAAGTAACTGTGTCAATTCCCATTTTGAATTTGATTCCCCATAATTTAATCCCACCCCTCTCCCGAACACCCTAGCATTTACTTCTTTTACAACCCCATCTATAAATATATTAAACAACCATGGTGACATTACACATCCCTGTCTAAGACCTACTTTTACCGGGAAGTATTCTCCCTCACTTCTACACACCCTAACCTGAGCCTCACTATCCTCATAAAAGCTCTTTACAGCATTTAGTAACTTACCACCTATTCCATATACTTGCAACATCTGCCACATTGCTCCTCTATCCACTCTATCATATGCCTTTTCTAAATCCATAAATGCAATAAAAACTTC